AGCAATAAACCCACTGACCCGTATATAATAATATATAATACTTTAGGTAGGTAAGTATATAGAATAAACTATAAAATGATCTTATTAAACCTCGTTTTATGCAATTTTTTATGAATATTAAATGTGTTTTACTTGACGGGTTATTATATTAAYTCTTAACGAATCTATCTCCACGCAATTGAATAGATGTAGTGGCTTGGGGTTTCCACGTTCACCGCTATATTATTGTATTATTATATTATATATTTACGCGTATTTTCAAATCCTCTCATTTTTCGTAACAATTATAAACACTGTACCTAGGTATATACGTATTTATGGTCACTGAATAAAGTGTCTGGCTCCATATTATTAATACATGAATAGTGTGTATATGCCACTTACATATCTACCGTGAAAGTATTATTCTTTGTYGAATTCAAAAACCAATTGTATGCTAACGTGCAATATTCGATGGGAGTTGTTTTGTAAACACAGTTATGAGTTTAAAACCGTTATATTTTTTACTCGTTCCAAATATTAATAACTCTTATGATTTGACACAGTCACACAGAAAATGTGGTGGTATATTTATTGTCGTCTGCAATCACGCACGACAMGTAGGATCATCATGAACCTGTAAAACGATAATATGTATTTCAGTATTATTTTATTATAATTATATGCTATTGAAGTATTTTCACAGCATAGAATATAATTTTTGTATATAGTTGGATACGAAATTTCGTCATTAAGCCAAAAATCATGCAGTAATAATATATGAACTGCAACTGTGCAACTACATTAATTTTACGAAATCTCGCTATGACTGATATTTAATGACCACTGCATTATAAATTATAATGATATTACTCAGATTTATTAAATACACCCATAACGAAACAAACGATAGATGAATGGGTGCGTTCCGAGTCAACTATGCYGCCAAAAAACTCTTTCTTTTTTAATATAGTATCTGATTTCAATTATTATTATTCTAAGTTGTGAGCCAACTATCATCATAACTAATAATATAACATGACCCTTGCTCAACAATATTCTGCAATCGCATGTCTACAGACCACCAAATCTATACCTATAGTCAAATACATTTATTATTATAATGATATATGTTTCAGGCAATTGATGTAATAATTTTTTTACTAAGCTTCAGCAACGYTCGAATTAAACATCAGCTCGAAATCACGAAATATGCGTCTGTCTTTATTATAGACCACGATAGTGATCCAATGATAAAAAAAATAAACTTATCACTTAAATACAACACCATKTTACCTGAAAATAGAAGCATTTAATAGAAATAAAAAGTTTTGAGTTCCAAAATATTTAAAATAATAAGAGCTATATTAATAATATATGTTATAATATGAATCTTGGTACATAGGGCACTCTTTGACATATAATTAAATACATACAAATTTGGTTAGAAATGTTTTTTTGAATATCATTTTTTTTTTTTCAAAAAATTGTAAATAATTTTTCATAATATTACATAAAAATATAAAATAATAAAGTACTTATATGAAAAAAAATCCTCAGATATTATACTATAAGCATATATGT